TTATGAACCAAATACTTCTTTATTACTGTGAAATATCACCTTTGTAGACGTTATTTACTTCCATCTGCCATATTTTATCGGGAAATATTCGATTTGGTGCCGAAAACATCACCGAATTGCCGTGACTATGACCCAATACTACCCCATACCACCCAATACTACCCCATACGATCCAGTTATGAACCCAATACTTCTTTATTACTGTGAAATATCGCATTTCTTGAAGTTATTTACTTCTATATGTCACATCCTATCTGGACATTATGCGATTTGGTGCAGAAAACATCACCGAAATGCCGTGACTAGGGGTTCGACGATTTACAGGAACGGGCAGGATCGGGCAGAAATCTCATGTATATGCATATTTATTTTTACAACAAACAGACCAGTAACTTAAAACGTACCCGGTAGTACCTGTTGCCTACAGTCGAGTCTGCTAACACAAACGCACGGGTGTGTATACGTTGAGGATTTACATCAGGAGAGATCAGTACTCACAACAGTATGTATGAGGTAACGTTATTGCTTATAACTACATATATATCACTGACAACACAATGTTCATTACAGGGACATCCCGCTGAAGTGTACAATTTTTTTTTCAAATACTACATAATCATATCAACTGAGACTCCTTATGGCAAATAACGATCGGATTTGGCTGATATAGATAATCATCGGGATTTTTACCTGTCTGACCAACTTTTCGTTTAGGGACACTAGTGACTACTAAATTCTGACTATCCTCGTAATATGGTAGTATAACCCAACCATGCTGACTATACTCGTACAATGCTGACTTTAAACCAACAATGCTGACTTTTTACTGAAATTCACTTTAATTTACCACGGTTGGGTTATACTCAGCATTGTCGTTTAAAAGTCAGAACGGTCGGATTAAAGTCAGCACGGTCCGATAAAAGTCAGCACGGTCGGATTAAAGTCAGCATAAAGATTTTACCTGTGTTCATTGATCCGCGCGCGAGCTCCACACGGCCAGTGCTAGACAGCAGCAGGGGGTTTCACACCTCCTATAGGCCGCGAGCGTCAGCTCTGATCGCGGCGTTTCTTTACCTTTGAACCGCCTATAGACATCAGTTTCCTTCCGTACACGGCCATTCTTTACCCGCTGTGCTTACGGTTCACTGTTCTACGCTCAGTGCGTTTTGAAATGTTCTGGTCATACTTTATCGACAGAATTTTAATAATAAATAATGGATTATGTCGAGTTCATATCTTTATTGCCAACAATCATTTTCTACAACACATACTTTCTTTGAACGTAATTATGTTGTTTTTCAATCAAAGTTAAACTATGTAACAGTGCCGTGTTTGTAATTTACTTCGGCTGTCTGTTAAAATATGTGTTTGCTTATTACTCGATTTGTAATAAAAATATATCTAAATAAATGTGTCGTGTTCGTACTTTTATTCGGCCTGATGATCTGAAATACGTGTTTATTAAACACTAGATTTAGATGTCAAATTGAAACTATAAAACTGTGCCGTGTTTGTATTTTACTTCGGCCTGGTGTTTTGAAATACATGTTCAGTTTGTTATGTCGATTAATATGTCAAATTAAACTACAAAACTGCCGTGTTTGTAATTTACATCGGCCTGGTGTTTTGAAATACATGTTATGTACACACTCGATTATTATGTCAAATTAAACTATAAAACTGCCGTGTTTGTAATTAACTTCGACCTGGTATTTTGAAATACAAGTTTGTTTTATACTCGATTAATATGTCAATTTAAACTATTAAACTGTGCCGTGTTTGTAATTTACTTCGACCAGTTGATTTGAAATACTTGGTTGTTACATACTCGAACTGTGCCGTGTTTGTAATTTACTTCGACCTGGTATTTTGAAATACATGTTTGTTATGTACATACTCGATTATTATGTCAAATTAAACTATAAAACTGCCGTGTTTGTAATTAACTTCGACCTGGTTTTTTGAAATACAAGTTTTTTTATACTCGATTAATATGTCTATTTAAACTATAAAACTGTGCCGTGTTTGTAATTTAATTTGACCTGGTGTTTTGAAATACTAGTTAAATACATACTTGAATTGTGCTGTGTTTGTAATTTTCTTCGACATGGTGTTTTGAAATACATGTTGGTTATGTACATACTCGATTATTATGTCAAATTAAACTATAAAACTGTGCCGTGTTTGTAATTTACTTCGACCTGTTGTTTTGAAATACATGTCTTAAACATTTGATTAATATGTCAAAACCTGTGCCGTGTTTGTAGTTTAGTTCGACCTGATGTTTTGTAATACGTCTTTGATACATAATCGATTGATCTGTATAAAGCTGTGTCGTGTTTGTAATTTATTCGACCAGGTGTTTTGAAATACATGTTTGTTTTATACTCGATAATATGTCAAATTAAACGATAAAACTGTGCCGTGTTTGTAATTTACTTCGATCTGATGTTTTGTAATACGTGTATGTTATTAATGTGTATATCAGTGTTAAATATGTCTAAAACCCGCAAAGTTCCGAGCAAATTGACAATACAATAATCTGCTTTTCTACACATCAGATGTTCTTGTATGTAGTTATGCCTGGTCTCATAATGCATTTTTTATAGCATCAGAAAAGGCTTTGTTAATTTGATATTTGATAATGCAGCAGCTAATAATTGTTTTTGAATGACTCTGTACATATTTCTTACTGATAATAAATGGTGCCAAATATACTCATCTAATTACTTGAAATTGGCACGCATTTCTAAAATGACCCTTGTGCAACCCATTTTCATTGGAAGAACATGATAACAGTAGGGTGATGAACATGTGTTGTTGAATTGAAATGACATTATTGAAATAAGCATGTATTGAATATGTATGTTTGCAGTAATATCCTGTACCTATAAGTTGTAAACTTTTGGAAAAATAAAATATATGAATAGTGTATTGAAAAGACAAAAAGGTAAATTGTAAAACTGAAAAAATACAATCTTGCTTGAAATCAAGATTTGTAACAACCTTATTTTAAGAACCGGGTTAGAAATATTAATAAATAATTCATATCTTAAGATGTTTTTTGAAATTGAATAATTAATAAAAAAAAAAAAAAAAAATTGAAGGGATTTTCCTTAGTCTCGTTCAACCAGACGTTTGATCACTTGTAAATCAAGAGTCTGGTCACACGCGTCAGCTACGAAGCGAAAAGTTGCCAAATGGTCAAAAGATAGCGCAAGGAATACGTTACGGAATCATTATTGCAGTTGGGAAGTATTCAGAGGAGAAAATAACTGCCCTAGGAGTTAGTACGGTGCATGTATTCTTTTGGATAGCCGGTTAAGATGAAATCAGAGACGTATATATTACAGATATATACGTCTCTGCTGAAATGGAATCGACAGAAATGTTAGCGCTGTTTATGTTATGATTAAATATATAAACTTAGTATCTTTGTCTGAGTTGAACACAGATGAACTTATTTTGTTATGTTAATGGGCATGTATCGGAGAGAGTTTACTTTGTGTTTCGATATACAGTAGTTTATGCGAAAGTAAGGGATAAGTGACTGGTTAGTTTGATTTTGCTTTGAGGCCCTCCAAGGGATAACTGTTGTGATGGCCACGGCGTGTCCTGTTCTCTCCACTGTCGGTACTCGGGGTCAAATAAGATACGTGCGCTATTAGATTTACATAATTTATAATATTCCCGGGTTCAGTAAAATGGTATGATTTAGTTATATTGAATTAATCGATTTTTTTGTATTAACATGCAAGAATTAAATTAGATCTAATATGAAGACCGGGCCTCCTCTGCCGTGACGACGCAATATATACAAAAATCTCTCGTTGTCAGAAAGCTAGACGGACCAGGATGAATAACTGAGGAAGGAGAACCTATTTATAATAAAAAGGATCGCATACCAATTGTTTTTTTTTCAAATCGTATTGTTTCAACAGTTCATGTTTTCATACGATATTGACTTAAGATGTATAATCATGTAACAACCTTTTCTCTACAAAGAATTAATTTTCGACATAAGATAGAATCGGAATACACATTGAAAACAGGGAGAAAAACGTTTGTTTATGTTGTAAAATTGACGCTTGCTGCCGATAACTACGGCTTCTGTTTCGGACAAAAAAGAACTGATTAAAGAAGAGTTGTCTCAACATAAAAAGGGTCCATTTACAAGCATGCTTTAATCTATCTAAAATATTGAAAATATATAATTATCAAGTATCTCAACACGTTCCCTATCTGACACATACTTTACATATACACGTAGTGGTTTTGCCATACCGTTTATTGTGTGTAATGGCTAATATGACTTACTAAATGTTAGCGTATGGAGACAGTGAAACTGGGCAAGAGAGTATACATAAAATATATATGTATGGTATAGAAAAAAATAATTGGCCAAAGACATTGAGTTGTACAATGTGATAAAAAAAATACAAACGTTTCTCTTGTTTATACACGTGTAGTTTGTCATTGTATTTATACATTTGATGAAAACATTTGGAAAGGAATATTCGTCTCGTGAATATACCTTTTTACAGAAAGGTTTGTCCCATGGCTGAAGGAAGGTGTTTAGCCCTGTACATGTACCATCTGTACCGGTCACATTCCGGTAATAAATTTAATATATATATATATTTTAAGAATTATTGACATTTAATTATAAATGTTATGTATGACGGGAGAAGGCTGTGATAAGTTCAAAAACTTGTGCCCAATCCATTGTTCAATTTTATTGGCAATACATATGTTTAAAGTTAAATTAATTTAAATTCTGAATATTGGCAGGTGTGCAATTAACTTCTGATGATGAATAATTACTGATTTAATAAAGTTTCAACACAGACTTAGAAATCATATTTCTTGGTTTCATAGTGCGGTAAGACGTTGCAGTTGCCTGACGGCCCCTCTCTGGGGACCCTTTTGAACCCATATGGGGATAGCCTGGTAACACAAGTGGACGACTTGTATATGTAAGGTTTGAAACTGTGGTTAGCAGCTTTTAGAATTTCCATTAAAATTCTTTGTTTTTAACATACGCTTTTAATGATATTTGGAATAGGGAATCTAATTGAGTTATACAGATGTCATAATTCGTGTTTTTATATTTTGTTTTGCCTGGTAATGGGTTTTTTTAAGAATTTATATTTCTAAAATATTTAAATCGTCAAACCTCAGTAGAAAAACAAATGAAGTTCCTGGAAGCCCTATTTTTAGTTATCAATTTTAAATCGAACACCGTACGGAGGCCTGATTTAAAACACAGGTGTACCAGTGTTCTTACTGTACTACATCACACACAGTGAACTCGTCAGCGCAGTGAACTTATTGGGAGTCAACCCAACGTGATATAATGGAGGCGTGGATACCTTACCTTCATTTCTGTGTCATTGTGCCCAATATTTATAAAGGTAACTATTATTATACATTTCTTCATCCATCGCTTTCAAAGAATTCGATCATTCTTCCGCAAAGATATTACGATTCATCGTTATCATTGTTCTGATTGTGATAAATTACAAAGGTGCCGTATATATTCTAGGGTAATGATATAATCCAATTCTAGCACCTTGATTATGGCTTTTATAATGCATTAAAGTAAAATCAGATGAAAAGTTCGTGAGAAATGTAACAACAAGCTGGGCATTTTTGGAAGTTAAACAATTTGTATATTTATCGTTTATTTTTTTTATTTTTGTAGTCGTTGCACAATGTGGAGGCTCCATTACGACTATCGATGCTTCCGAGACGTATAAAATACACACTCTCCAGTACCCAGGTAGTGGGACGTACGGCGAGTAAGTCATCTTCTTAAACTTCTTTTAAGTCACGAAATGTGACATTTTTTTTTGTCTTATATTTTTCATAGCAACCTACATCGACCAGTCTTTCTCAGCAACGTCATTGCCATGTACAAAGAGAAAATTCAGGTTGATAAAGAATATTAGCAACTTTAATAGTCACTACTGTAGAATCATGTATTTTCGTGGGGTTAAAATTTCGTGGTTTTCATATACTAGCCTGTTTCAATGACATTATATTTCACTTATTTCCGATTTTCCCCTATCTATATCATACCAAATTTATGTTTTCGTGGGGATTTAATTTCGTGGATTTTTGTTATCCACGAAGTAAACGAAATTTAATGTCCCACGAAAATACATGCTTTTACAGTATCATGAGCTAGTTTGAAAATATTATATAAAAAAAAATCATCTCGGATAATGTCGTCATCTTTTAAAATGATTTCGTCTTAGGTAACTCGTAAGTCGAAAGTCGATGGCAGAAAAATGCCACCATAACTTACCATTCAGAAATCTGGTATAACACTCTTTATGTAAATACATGTATGTTCTTTGTTAACGCTTTGCTATACTTCCGATTGCGAGTTTGAGTTGCATCTTTGTTGACACATTGGTATACGCGTGTTATATGTTTGAGTCTATATTTTAGTGCTGGTGTATAGATATATTTTACAAAGCTACAATGTAGATTTGCATGTGTATAGTGTATCCCTCTTCGTGACTGTATGAAGCGGTTAATATGGCTCCTATAGTGAATCAAGCTCAAGTATTGTTCTAGACCTCACGTTCAATTGGTCTTTCTCGTATGGTTTTCTAACATGCTTTCGTTGATAATGACGTCATTTACATTTTGATGTTAAATCTTATTAATAAAGTGCTACATAATCCAAAGCCGTTGCTGTTCAGCGTATATCATTTCTAAAGCTAACATGCGTATGATAAAGGGCTTTCAGTAGAGCGGACGGGGTTATAAACAATACATATAGGCGACGACGGGTTCTCTTTTGCCCTCGTAGTATAAAGAACTATGCCGTACGGACATAATTACCAGTCCACTAATACATTTCTACCTATAACGACAAAGCCTTACATTAACGGAGGCAAATGATACATAGAAACATAGATATTTATTTCCTTCACTTTGCAATAAAGAGTATATGCAAGCCTGAAATAGCCTACATTTCATCTCTTTGTGTTCTCTTGTTACAATACTGCTATATATAGTGTGTCTAGACTATGTGTCACGAGGAATGAGAAGGTTGGATATAAAATGGATATAAAATGACACACGATAACAGGACGTGGATTCCAGCTATGGTCTAAATAGTCATAGATTTCTTCATTTTTTTTTACCAGTGCAGAGCTCATATGATCAAACAGTTCGGTAAACTTTTCAGTTTGTTTGGCTTTCTCCTCTGGATTACAAACGAAATAGGTGCTTCACTTTTCTTTGTTTAATGATAATTTTACTCAACATGTGGGATATCAGTACCAGAGGTTGATCGGTCCGCGGTTTCATCACTACCAGTCCGTTCGTATATCACTACCAGTCCGTTCTTACATCACTACTAGTCCGTTCTTATATCACTACCAGTCCGTTCTTATATCACTACCAGTCCGTTCTTATATCACTACCAGTCCGTTCTTATATCACTACCAGTCCGTTCTTATATCACTACCAGTCCGTTCTTATATCACTACCAGTCCGTTCTTATATCACTACCAGTCCGTTCTTATATCACTACCAGTCCGTTCTTATATCACTACCAGTCCGTTCTTATATCACTACCAGTCCGTTCTTATATCACTACCAGTCCGTTCTTATATCACTACCAGTCCGTTCTTATATCACTACCAGTCCGTTCTTACATCACTACCAGTCCGTTCTTACATCACTACCAGTCCGGTCTTACATCACTAACAGTCCGTTCTTACATCACTACCAGTCCGTTCTTATATCACTACCAGTCCGTTCTTACATCACTACCAGTCCGTTCTTATATCACTACCATTCCGTTCTTATATCACTAACAGTCCGTTCTTATATCACTACCAGTCCGTTCTTACATCACTACCAGTCCGTTCTTATATCACCAGTCCATTTTTACGTCATTCCAAGTCCATTGCCACGTCAGTCCTAATCCGTTTTCACGCATTTCTTATTCCGTTCGTACGTCATTTGTACCCCTTTGTTACATTATCACAATTGCTATTGTTACAAACGTTCAGTCACAGTCCACTGTGAGTGCCTTGTCCCATCACCTTCTGTACCCTGTTTACATTGCTTTATGTGTAACCCTACATGCACCAGTTTATTGATACATTAACGTCACTACCAGTCCCTTGTTACATTAACGTCACTACCAGTCCATTGTTACATTAACATCATTAACAGTTCATTGTTACATTAACGTCATTACCAGTCCATTGTGACATTAACGTCACTACCAGTCCAATGTTACATTAACGTCACTACCAGTCCATTGTTACATTAAGGTCACTACCAGTCCATTGTTACATTAACGTCACTATCAGTCCATTGTTACATTAACGTTATTACTAGTAAAGGGTTACATCGTTATGAACCAACTGTTCCATCAATACCATTGTTACAGAAACCTCAACTGTTCCTGGATTCTTCATTCCAGTACTAACGAGTTACTCCTATACTTATCCGTGCATCAGTTGACCAATGGGGACGTGTTGTACATCTACGATGGTAAGTATACAAACGTACGTATTATAATATAGCAAAAAATATGCAACCCTTTCATGCAATTATTTAGAAACTTTTCTTGGGGATATTATTTAACATAAGAAAACAGCAAGAACATGTTTGATTTCAATTCCTCATGGTTTAAACTTCATGTAGGATAAGGTGTGTGAGGCGGAGTCCACCAGGTTGCATGCGTGTGATTGATATGTTATAGGTGCTCTACAAATCAACAAGTGGTGCAAGTATGTGTTAATGTGTTAATGGCAAAGCATGTGCGTACGCCGACCACATGTGTCTATCTGTCTATGAATATAAAAAAAATATGCATTCAATCTTATCATCTAGCGACTCCACTTTAGTGTCATATTATTAACTACTAATAGTACAAATAATCTATCAGTGAAATAAGTAATATTTTTTCATCAACAAGGTATGACTGCTGCTGTCTCCCCTCTGTTCTCGACTTCAACCAGTGGAACGTCAGGGCTATCCATAACTGTCGTGGCTCCCTCGGGTGCCTCATACCTCCGGTTTACGTCCAATAGTGTGGCCGGAACAAGCCAACTCGGCTTTACAGTGCGATACATGTCAGCGGTAACAGATGACAAAGGAGGTGAGAGCTCAAAGTCAAAAATGGCGTAAAGGCATTAATAAATTTGACCTGGTATCTTATTCAGTAGCTTCTTTGTACTTTGGCAACGTTTTGCAATTACGGATCACTTTGCGCTCTTTAACTGGACAATTTAAATGACATAACAAATAGAGATAGTTTCATAGGTGATTGGTGACAGGTAACGTGCATAATGAGATAAATGCACGTGTCAACACAGGTACCTGAATAATTTAATCCATTTTAGCATTTGCATAAAGTCTTGCTTGGTTTACTAGTTTCTGTTTTTAAAACTTACTGAAGACAAATTTAAAATTATGTAGACGTCACCGTTTGCGATATGAGTTGTACTTGTGATATGATGCCGATAAATTTAAGTTTTAAACATTTTTCTTTCACAGAAACGAAATAAATTAGCCTTAGACATTTAAATGAATCGTTGATTTTGAAATATCAATTACATATGCATTAGATTTAATGGATCAGGTGACTAAACTATTATAAAGCATGCCAACTCTAAACAATGATAGATTGTTTGCCCGACGAAACATGTTATTACACAATAAATCCTGAACGTGAAAATCAACAAGTAGCCCAGAGTTTCTTGTATCGCTCACCTTGATAATAAAGCAGCTGTGGAAAAATATTCTTATTACACTGCAACTTTTTTCCGAGTATTGACTCTGTCTCTCAGCATTACCACTCCCTCATTGGGTCCCTTCTTTTTACTACAATCGAAGTGGGGTTAATTTTAAACAATAACGGCAATTTGGCGTGCATAATGATGCATCTGATTCAATGTATGTAAGTCTGTGTCAATGTATACATGTATGTATGTACTGTCTGTCTGTCTGCCTGTGTGTCTGTCTGTCTCAGGTATATATGTATGTGTGTATGAGTATATATGTGAATGTATTTGTATGTGTATTATGTTTTTTGTGTATACGTGCTATATGTTTATCCTTGTTTGTAATATCATGTTGTATATGGAATTTGTTAGGGTGTGAAAGAAGTATGTTTTGTGTTCTTGCCCTGTACTGTATTTGCAAATATTTTATTTTTCCATTGCCCTTCTTATTTATTTATTTATTGTTTGACTGATGGATGTTGAATGAAAACCCTCCTGCGTGAGGACACCATATTGTTCAGGGGCTGACTCCAGGGCTCCCCAATCCTGGCATCCCCTATCAAAATATTTATATATGTATATATATATCTGCTTTGAAGCAGTATATGTATATACATAATTATGAAAAAAAATGGCTGGGGGAATCAAATATTTGTAAAAAAAAAAATAAAGAAGGCAATTTTACCCTATTGGGCCCCACCATAGGTGGGGGGGGATTTGTTTTAAACCCCTAAAAAAAGTCTAAAGGAGAAACATGTTAAAGATTGACCTCAATTTCCCCAATGTGATGTCTTGGTAAGTGACTTAATGTTTTCTTATTAGTAGGTTATTGCAATATAATGCAGTGGTTGGTGACTGTATACTTTTATGTGATACATTGAAGAACAGCTAGACACAAATGACCTGTCGTGTTGATCTACTCATGGAACATCAATGCTGGCCAGTTACATTCCTGGTGTAGGAATGCCCATCTGATCATTGCTGTTCAGGTTTATTGTGTATAGTACAGTTACACCTACTGAGACTGGTGGTCAGTAATTATGTTGGCTTAATAAAACTTATTAACATATTGCCTAATGTTTAACTCATGCATACTTAATATACCAGTAACATATATCTGCGTGTACTATCTATCGTGGTATTGACTCGCATGTAGTCATGATGAAACTAAAAACACAAACAATATCTTCATCGAGTGCATTCCGGGTTTTCTCCTCATCTTTTCAATACAGTTATCGATGGTCAACCCGACAGTTCATTCTGATTGGACTATTTGTACATCATTCTGTAACAATTCTGTAACAAAATCCCAACCGATGCGTAAGCCGAGGTTGGGTTGGGATGTAACAGCATCTTAGATCGAGACTGAGATAACCCGATCTTGCTCAGTTACAAATGTACAAGTAATTGATTTTTTTTTCTCGCACCTTTAAGTTCGAAAAAAAAATCGATTTTGCCAAAAACTTCAAGTATCCCGTCTGGGGCCTCAAATGATAATGACATCTTCACTACTTAAGCTACATTTGAATGCTTCCGCGTAAAAATGTAGTCCGTTCTTACATAGATGACAACGTATTTCACAGTGTAGACTATATTTGATCTACAACATCAAATATCTAACAACACAAAAATTATACATATAAAATCAAAACAGAACATTTTTAGTTCATTTTGTCAATTTCAAGCAATTAACGCGCGGATGAGGCCATCGCAGTTTACAAAAATTCCGCGAAATGCCACATAAAGGTGCAAGACAGATCGGACGAGATCTAGCATGGGGTATTACGTGGATATCTCTGTCTGAGGTGCAAGAAATGTATGTCTCCCTTGAACGAAGATCACGAATATAATACCTGAATCTAAACCGCGGATAAATAAATCAATCATCAGTTTCCTACCATAACCATGCCCAAACTATATACATCAACATATAAACACAGTCATTTATCACCACAGTATATACTGCGGTAGTTCCCCTGTAATACTACATATGTAGTTGACTACCGCTGATCTGTCAATGTGTTACACACTTCTGTTACTAAGGTAGGTTGTGAGGATTAAAATATAAAATTGTTCTAATATTTATTATGATATTTATATAAATGATCAATTATGTGCATTTTCATCATTACATTTATATTCTCTGCAAAAAAAGATCTTACGGTCTCCGATCGGAAAGACCATTACAGCGTTTAGATTTTATGATACAGAGCGGTAAAAGATATTGTCTTGTCTTGTGTTACAGGCTGTGCCTCAACAGTCAATGTGGAAGCCACAGACACAATACAGTACCTAACGAGTCCAAACTTCCCGGGCAAGTATCCTAGGTAAGAATATCAGGTTGTTGTGTTGCAGAGTTAACTCTTTCCGTACCGCAACCCCGGTCCGGATTCCGTACCGGATGTACTTATTAGACTCGCCCCGCGCATATAACAAAATGGTGGATTTTTAATGTACATTTTAGACTAGGTGTAACTGAAAAAAAATCAAGAATTAAACAGGTAACCGTGAACAAATATTGTTATTGTTTCATGTTCTGGTTCATAGACAAACACTTCTTAATTTTCGCAGCATAATGACTAACTGGCAGCTGATTATGACTGATTAATCGACATTTATCTGGCAATAAACGATACGATTCCTTGTATTTAACACAGCGTTGTAGTGCAGGTTTCCGATGGGGTTTGATTATGGTTACGAATGTGGAGTCGTTGAGTTTTTTTCTAAATACAATTAGATTTCATCAAGACTTATATTAGAATATTCAAATTTACTTCCATAAGTCTCACCAAATATCTGATAATGAATTTACGAGTGTTCGTATCGAATTAAGTTGCCGCCATCTTGTTTACATTTGAGGCACCAAACGCAAACATCTTGCGGCAAATGCGAAAACTTTAAGTCACATAATAAAAAAGTGTACTCTGCACAACTAAAATTATTTTTTCCAAACTGATGGGTTCTGATTTTAGCGACAATTAATTGTTTTTTCGCGACAGTCTCGTGCGATAACCAACTAAACATCAGGCAGGTTACATCAAAGTCTCTTGTCGTGTGTACACGACAACGGGGATGAGACGGCCCTTTATTTTGTCGTCTGTACACGACAACGGGGACCAGGATGACATATTGTTGTCGTGTGTACACGACAACGGTACGGAAAGAGTTAAAGAAGAGAATAAAAACATAATTGGAGGCACGGTAGTCTAATGGTAGGACGCTGGGCTCGTGACCGAAGGGTTGCGGATTCGACTCACGGCACGGCACTATGTTGTATCTTTGAGCAAGATACTTTACTCCCTTGTTTCAGTCTACTCAGCTGTAAATGAGTAAGTGGTTGGGAAGAACTAGAATTGTTGAATGCTAGCCGTGAGCGCCGACATGGCAGTACCGGCTGCATGCTCCCCAGGGAGTTGAGAAAGATGTTGGCTGGTTGCAAAGGCCCTATAACCACGGATATTGAGACGACATACACACTAGGTTGTGATAAAGCGGTATATAAGAACGAGATCTGTACGATCGGACATCGTGGAGGACCACTTCAAGGCAGTCATTGACCAGCAGCCAATGATCAGCAGCCAATGATTTATGTGGTTATCGGGTTACGGGAATCGAGAAAAACAGCAAAACCAAAGACGATTAGCCTGATCCAAGAGTCTTTCTGGAAGAAAAAAGAGAATACGCTGTTACTGAACGGATAGAATGTATACGAATTCATTCAATAGCATTATACACGTTAACTAAAACTTGTACAGTTACATTTTAGTAATAATATGTTTATTTAATCGTGCAATGTGTTACAAGCCTTTCTCCTCGCTTCGTATAATGTATTGTCTAATATTAATGACATTACGGATTTTCCATACTTAACTGTTTTTGTATTGAAAGCTTGTCAGTCAGTCATTTGCACTTTTATTAGAGCACGTAGTATATCCTCAAAAGGATAAACATTGATTTGTCTCATTTTGTCACATCACATCACGAAACATAATAATTATATATGCAGTTATTCTTGCAACTTATTTAAAATATTTTTATTTTTCCTTATAGGATGTTTATGTAATGAATGTATGTTAAAATGGTTCCACAACTCGGAGATTCATACAAGTTATATTCACAAGACAAACGATACGCGATTGTCGTACCTCCTATCCGTTCTTTTTCCTACATAACACAGATACACTGTATACAATTATTAGCCTAAAATTTCAATTTCTTATTTTACTTGGATTCTCTGTAAAATATTATAAATTTGAGTTATTCAATTTTTTTTGATATATACAATATAATTTGAATAAATGTCAAGTCGATTCGTAAGCAGTGGTATTAACACATTAGCAAATGGAGGATTGTAAGTAAACTAATGCTACCTAATTACAAAGTAATAGTTATAGTGCATCATTGCTGGTCGTTTCAATACCACGTGTATCTATGCTGCAGACGCCTACACACAGGGAAAAACTTCTATGTTTTTTCACCTATCATTACGTCAGTTTGTTCGACTAATTCCTTTTACTACTGACCACATATTTTTAACCAATTCTTATTAATCTCAACTTTTCATTTTTCTTGAATACTGCTTCCTATCACGTTCATTATTTTACTCCTTAACTTGTGATAACATCGTTGACGAAAGGGGTTTTGACGACCCTGGTTTCTTTTGAACGACTCTTTCTATTTGTCAAAGAATTTTCCCCATGATTCATCCATAGTGAACATACTTACATTATTTTGTTAAATTGACACTTTTTTATTTCATTGCTCAAGTGTCTTTATGTAAATCTTATATTTGAAATAGACGGAAATGCCCCCAAAGAGCTATGCCCTTCTAATGACTGGAATTCAGCGTCAGACTACAATACCACTGGTACAACGGCAGCCATAACTCTATCTACAGACGGTAGTGATCAGTATCAAGGATTCGTGATGTCATACATGAGGACAGGTTTGTAAATCATATCGGGAACAACCTAAAAATCCACTACACAGCCATCAGCTTTAGCATTTTACGGTTGACATGATATCTATCCATTCTTTTCTTTCTTTCCTTCTCTTTAACTCATATTGACGTCTGTAAGGTAAAACAATTCAGAGTTCTTCATTTACAGAGAAAGATGACATATTTTTTTGTAATTTTCTTTCATAATCAACGTGCTTGATATAGATCATAGAAGCTGACGTAGGTATGCGACATATTGACAGGTTGCAGCAGCGGTACACTGAATATTGCATCTTTGAATCAGCATAATCTCAAAACAAACTTTTCATTGCTGCCAGATTATAATACTTACAGCGTATATCGGGTATTCTTCTGTCTTTGATATTATTGAATGTCATAAACTGTAGTCCCGTTGTATGATGTCGTTGGCTGATTGAAACTCGTTTCCTGTAGTTCCGTTGTATGATGTCTTTGGTTGATTGAAACTCGTTCCCTGTAGTCCCGTTGTATGATGTCGTTGGCATATTGAAACTCTTTCCCTGTAGTTCCGTTGTATGATGTCGTTGGTTGATTGAAACTCGTTCCCTGTAGTCCCGCTGTATGATGTCGTTGGCATATTGAAACTCTTTCCCTGTAGTTCCGTTGTATGATGTCGTTGGTTGATTGAAACTCGTTCCCTGTAGTTCCGTTGTATGATGTCGTTGGCTGATTAAAACTCGTTTCCTGTAGTCCCGTTGTGTGATGTCGTTGGCAGATTGAAACTCGTTCCCTGTAGTCCCGTTGTATGATGTCGTTGGCTGATTGAAACTCGTTCCCTGTAGTCCCGTTGTATGATGTCGTTGGCTGATTGAAACTCGTTCCCTGTAGTTCCGTTGTATGATGTCGTTGGTTGATTGAAACTCGTTCCCTGTAGTCCCGTTGTATGATGTCGTTGGCAGTTTAAATCTCGTTCCCTGTTGTCCCGTTGTTTGATGTCGTTAGCTGATTGAAACTCGTTCCCTTGTTGTCCTGTTGTTCGATGTCTTTGGCTGATTCAAACTCGTTCCCTATAGTCCCGTTGTTTGATGTCGTTGACTGATTGTATCTCGTTCCTTGTAGTCCCGTTGTTTGATGTCGTTGGACGATTAAATCTCGTTCCCTGTAGTCCCGTTGTTTGATGTCGTTGATAGTTTAAATCTCGTTCCCTGTAGTCCCGTTGTGTGATGTCGTTGGCCGATTAAATCTCGTTCCCTGTAGTCCCGTTGTTTGATGTATTTGGCAGATTGAAACTCGTTCCCTGTAGTCCCGTTGTTTATTGTTGTTTTCTGATTGAAACTCGTTCCCTGTATAATACTTACAACGTATATCGGGTATTCTTCTGTCTTTGATATTATTGAATGTCATACACTTTAGT